ACGCCCTGCGGCGTCGGTTGACTGGGCGCGGATGATGGCGGACCAGTTGGTACGTCTTTGTGATACTCAGGCCGTGCAGGTGGCGCTGGTGTCGTTTGACGGCTACTCTCCTGTGTCAAATCTTTCAACAGCTCTTCTTTTTCGGTTTTACGTGCGAAACAAAAGTCACTGATTTTGTTTTGCGTTACAACCAACAACTATCCGAAGAAAACAATAAAATACACTCAACAATACACAAAATTAACAAAAAAACTAACCTGTGTAAGTTCATTGTAGAACTTAGTGCCCTCTTTGAGATGATTCTGCAAGTCTCGGAAAGCATCGTGTGCAGCCGCGAGTTGACTCATAACCTCATCGCGGTTGTTCGTGGTACTACCACGCTCATTAACAAACTGCGAATGTGCGCTTTGAATCCGCGCGACTAACTCGCCTTGTCTTTCGATACTCTGACGAACTTGCGTTTGCAACGGCCCGAAATGCTTACCCAAACACTCCACAGACATCGGCGGTTCGTTAATAGCGCCATCTTTAGCCAATGCAGCCATGAATTCCGCTTTCATGTCAAACGAAGACGAATTTAACTCGGATTCAATCACATCTCGTTCCGCTTTGATTGTTTCAACCTCTTCCATTAACCCTCTTAGAGTACTTACTGCCGATGAATTCGCCAGATTCGACTGTCCACCTGACGGAACAGCTGCTTCCACAGCTTCTGGACTCTTACTTAACACCTCCATGAATTTACGATGCGTCTCAAACTTCTCCCGGACTGTTTTATCTGCATTCACAGCGTTATTAATAATCTGGCGATATTTCGCAATATTAGACCGGAACATTTCTGTTAATTTATCAGAAGATGTACGTGTCCAACGTTCCTTGAACTGCTCACGAAGTTGCCTATCCGATTGCGCTTCTTCATTGAGAATCCTATCTGTCTATAACCTCAAAATTAATATTTTCAAACAAAATATTCAATTATTACAAATTACCTCATCTAAAATGTCTGTATTCCTCTTTAGAAGGTCCGGTAAATCATTTAACAACGTTTCCAACGCTGTAATCCCCCCGGCGTTCCTCACAGCCTCCGCTTTTTCCAAAATAGAAGGCGGGAGGGTATTCCCTTCGGTTATCTCAATCGCCGCAGGGAGATTCAAAGAAGCCAGCACGCTATTCAACAATTGTGTAGCATCCCGTGACTTTGAAATCTCCACATTCACCAGTTCACTCTTACGCACATCGCAAGCAGCCATCGCTTGATGAACAGCAATCGGCACTAATTCATCGAACAAATCTTTGAAATTTTGACTCATCGGATACGCAGGCGCAATCATCTTAGCCAGAGCGGCTTTACCAATCGGCGCGAGTGATTTAATGTCAGGAATGCGCTCGTGATAGATAAAATCGTTATCTTTTCTTGCTTCCGTTAAGTTTCGCTGGACTTTATGCGCTAGTTCAGGGAATAATGCTTTGGATGCTTTTGTCTGCGCGAGTTTAAACTGTTCCTCTGCATTCTAATCATAAAAAAATTAATTTTTTGTGTTTTTTGTGTAAATTTCTTTAGGTTACTTACTGTTAACCACGTTATTTCTTCCCCTACGGCTTTGTTTGCCTTGCAAACTAAACTTTGATATAAATAAGCGATGCCCTGATAAGCCGCTTGTTTACCAAGGATCAAAGAAGTCCATTCACGGTCGAAAAGACCTTTGTGTGGCTCTTTCTGGAAGATTTTCGCGCAGTCACCGTAGAGATCCTCACAATGCGCAGCTAGTTTAGCAACTACAGCGTCTTTCATGTTGTCTAGTCAATAAAAAACATTAAAATTTTACTGTTTTTGATGTTTTTTGTTTCTAACTTACTTAAAATTGCTTTGTGCACGAAAATTTCTTGTGCTTGTGCAAGCATTAGCTGTGCTAAAGCTCCTAGTGTGTCTGGATTGAGGTCTGATGTGGGTTCCTGCTGGATTGATTGAATTACAGTCGCTTTTAGGTGATTGTAGTTACCAGCCGCCTGTTGGAATAGTTTAGCAGCGAGTTTCAAGCCTTCATCATTGTCTAAAGCTTGTGTGGAGGCTACAGCACTCTGGAGAGATGCAATATTGAAGAGAACACAGATTCTTTCAAAGGATAATGATGCAATTGCTGTAGAAACATGAAAATTTGTGATTTTTTGTTGGAAAAAATGTAAAAACTTACTTTGACTGCTTCGTACACCAAAAATTGACCCTTTATCAAACGCATCCTTCCATTTGAAGGGTACTTGCATCTCCTGTGCGGGTATCTTACCCTCCAGAGCCACCAGTTGATCATAATACCTTTTAAATCAAAATTATCACAATAAAAACACAAAAAATTCATCAATTTGTGTTGACTAACCCATAGATAATCTCCAAACTGCTCTCGTACTTCTCAAACGCCCTCCAAATTGCGTTGCTTCGTAACTTGCTGAGGTCATTGATGGCATCGCTATAATCCAGCGGCTGATCAGCAGTGCTGTACCGCGCCTGCAGTAAATTCTTCAACGGCTGGACAATGTCCACGTCCGTTGGCTTCTTCAACGGCACGGCGATGAAGTCAGCCATTTTAATACGCAACACCGGCTATATTATGCAGTTAATTATGACAATACACGATAATTACTCAACGACACACAAGTATCTCGCACGTACTTGACAAGAGGATTGCAAATGAAATAATGTGATGGAATAGGTACGTTGTAGACAATAAAACAACCGGTGATTCAACAAACGATTCACGCGTTGTGATTGGTTGAAAATCCTACTTTTGTGTCACGTGACCAGGTTAGGTCACGTATAAATTTATTCAAATCATGGTAGGCAACCAGTAAAACACAAATATATATTGGGTGTTTTAAGAAGAAATCTTAAAAATTGCATAAAAAATTGTTTTTACTCAGTTTTCTTTTACCATTGATGTAAAAGTAAAGCACAGATTAAATTTACAAGGAATTTTTGTACTGCCAGTTGTGTTCCGTTGTTGTAAGTGACTTTTTTATGCAGGAAATAATCATCAAAAGCGTCCCATGTGTCAGTAGCGCATAAAGCTTCATATTCCGAATGACAGGAGGTACCCTCTTGACATTCACTACATGGTGTACCTATTTTATACATTCTTTGATTTGGTATGTTACCGGTAGGACCATAATTACATATTAAATGTTGCGTATATTGTACTTTTGGTCCGTGAGTTGTCTGAAAAATAACTCTGGCACACCCAATGAGGTAAGTATCAGCCCATACCAACTGTGAATACATCGTGTATAACCTCTGTTGTCTTTTAGACCCTCTAGGTCTAGAAATAAGCTTAAAATAATAACATAACCTTAAAAAAACACTACTAAAACATACAATTTGTAAGATTGTACAATAGACTTGTTGATATACTCTGCGCCTTGGTACCACATCTCTAACAAATGCATCACACCATCTGTAGCGATACTTCCCCTTGCTATATTCTGCCCAACGGGAAACCTTTCTAAATCTCTACAGATATCATTCCCAAAAATGCATTGCGCGGCCCATCTGTCAGCTGTAGCAGCTAATTCATCATCCCATTCAAGCATTCTCATATTACCAGCTGGTACCACCCCAGAAGCGACTTTATTCCTGATTGTATTATGTGCATCCACCAGGAGATGCTTTTCTGTGTCAGAAAACAACACGGGGACATAACCTTTACAAGCGGGACCAATTTTTTGATTCTGCAACCAAATATACATCAAAAACAGCAAAAAACATAATAATTCATGGTATACCCACCGCGTATTTACACAAAGTATGAGATCCACACTTTTTACCCACCGTTTTCACCTGGACATCAATACAACATGTCCGACAGTATTTATTCATCGATGAATTTGTATTCTGCGACGCGTAGAACGCCAAAGATGATGGTTTCGTCAACAAAACATTGTCTTCCGTTGATATTGAGGGAATACCATCAATTATCATGAAGATAATTGTAAATATGATGAATTTTTTTGACATTTTCAAGTTTTATTTGTCAAAATATAGGTTATGTGATTATAAAACACTTATATAATATTATTTAACTTGTACATAACGCCCGACAAAAACAACTCGTTCTTCTTTATTGGTGGATTCCTCAATTGACTCAATATGTGCTGCACTAACCTCCAAAGTTGTGGATGTTGAAGTAGTAGTGACCAATTCATCGATTGGTGCACTCCTCATGATAAGAGCAAATAAAAATGGATGCTCAGCAATGAATGGCACCGCATCAAACACTTCCTCCTCTCCGATACGCTCCAAAATATTAACTATTCACAAAAACACAATTATAAATGGTGTACATTTGGTTGCCTAGCGTTGAGGTAACTCTATAAGTACTATATAATCCCAGATTGTTTTCAGGTTAGAATTTTGAGCAAAACACAATTGTTTTAGTCGAGTATCATGTCAAATGTAAGAGTATTTACAAGTATTTACCATTTATGTCTATTTGAGTGTTGCGTGTGTTTGTTTTTAGGCTGCGGAAAGTGGCGCGAGTATCCGGCCCACGAAAAGCACGTAATGGCCGAAAGGCGTTTTCATTCGCAGATAGAAAATCGATGGATGGTCCATCGTCCAGTCCACCAACACAAAATTAATCAACCCCCAGTAATCAATATACTCTACAACTATGATAATAATATAAATATCGTATTTATTGCGATGCTTTCACACATTTCTCAAGAGATAAAAGCCAAGGGGACAAGCATAGAATAAAATTCTTCTTAAAAAGTGTGTTAGAAAGTGCTCGGTGCACTAAACCTGCCCACAAATAGCGGCATTTTCACACTGCGTGGGTGTTCGGCCTGCTGGCGCAAGAGAACGCACATGAGGAACGGATGATCAGCGACAAAGTGCAACTTTGCCACGCGATCCGCCGGCGGGATCGAGAGGGTGATCACGCCACCTTGAAGTGTCAAGCGATTAGTATTTGATTAGTATTTGTGCGAAAGCAACATCAATTTTGAGGTTATGCAGTCAACTTACTTGCTGTTGCAGCTGCTGCTTCAGTTCCTGTTTCTGTCACGTTGATAAACGTCTTCTGGATGACTGTGTTCACTTGCAGATTGTTATCTGGTGTGATATCGGATAAATCAGCGTGTTCAGTGAAGACTTTATGAATTCCCAGCTAAAAACAAACACTTTTAGTATAAAATGACGAATAATGCGATAGTACTGACATCTTGCAGGATTTTTTTGTACTTTATGGTAGTTTCCATCGAAAACTTAGGAATCTGTATCCTGACATGTTGTTTCTTGAATGGTTGATCCTGTAGTACCTCCTCCATACGATGCTCTAACCTTTTCAAGCCGTCGACTTTGTTAGGCAACACAAACACCATGGAAACATCATGTCCTTGATACGGCAACTCTAAGAACTTCGCATCGAGTTCTTCATTCTCGTAATAATTAAAAAAGTCCGTCAATTGCATCATGTCCACATTATGTGGCTCCTTATGCTCTGAATAAAATGGCCGCTTGATTGTATCAACAGGATCAAATGGATACTGCCATTTTCCTTTGAAATGCAGAGCATTTGCAAGGACTAATTTGGTTTCCTTGAGGAGATCTTCAGGTGAGATGATTTCCTGGATTTTATTGTTTGTTTTATCCTGTACCCAGTCGTTAATGTCACGTGCGGCTTCGTAGTTGAGTGAGAAGTCGACAGTGTCGACATCTGCATCGAAAATGTATCTAGCTACGTCCTGATAGGCTTGTTTTAGTTTAAAGTTGTGATTTACGAAGAGTTTATTCGCGGATGTTAGAGAGTAGAATTCGTTGCCACGGAGTTGTGGCATAAGGTGTCTGAAGATTGTTTTTAGTAATTTTTGGTTGGAGGGTAGTTTTAGTCCGCGGGTGATTTCGGTAGCGGTGTCTCCTTTGGCGCCTAAGGATGTGAGCGCCATTACTGTTTGCACTGAGAGTGGACATGTCAGGAAGTTGCTTGGTTCACTTTTTGATAATTCCTGTTGAAAAGAGGAAAAAATAGGTTAGAATTATGAGCATATGCAAAATTTACATTGGATTGTTTGCGCATGCGTAGTAAACATTATGGGCGGAGCTAATTTACATGTTTTATTATTATTTCTATGAAATTAAGTTATTTTTATATGATTATCTATGGTAAAATTATTATTTTGAAGTTATACGTAAGAATAACATAGGATTCTTCTGCGCATGCGCAGTACACACTATAGGCGGAGCAAATTTACACGTTTTTTACTATTTTTATGAAAATAAATTATATTAATGTATTTATCTATCTTAAAATTATTATTTTGATGTTATACGTGAGAATAACATAGGATTCTTCTGCGCATGCGCAGTAAACACTTTGGGCGGAGCAAATTTACATGTTTTTTATTATTTTTATGAAAATAATTTATATTTATGTGTTTATCTATCTTAAAATTGGTATTTTGAAGTTATACGTAAGAATAACATAGGATTCTTCTGCGCATGCGCAGTAAATACTATAGGCGGAGCAAATTTACACGTTTTTTACTATTTTTATGAAAATAAATTATATTTATGTGTTTTTCTATCTTAAAATTGGTATTTTGAAGTTATACATAAGAATAACATGGGCAATTTTGCGCATGCGCCGTAAACTCTATGGGCGGAGCATATTTACACGTTTTTTACTATTTCTATGAAAATAAGTTATATTTATGTGTTTATTTATCTTAAAACTGAAATTTGGAGGTTATATGTAAGAATTACTTGATATTTTTCTGCGCATGCGCAATATACATCTTCGGCGGAGCATATTTACACATTTTTTACTATTTCAATAAAAATAAATTATATTTATGTGATTATCTATCTTAAAATTAATATTTTGATGTTATACGTAAGAATAACATAGGATTATTCTGCGCATGCGCAGTAAACACCATGGGCGGAGCATATTTACACGTTTTTTTACTATTTTTATGAATGTAAATTATATTTATGTGATTATCTATCTTAAAATTAATATTTTGAAGTTATACGTAAGAATAACATTGGACTATTTTGCGCATGCGCAGTAAACACCATGGGCGGAGCAAATTAACACATTTTACAACGTTTTTCTCATAGATATATAATTTTTTCTCATTTTAAGCAAAAATAATTCATGTCTCATGATAATTAATTAAAATCGCAAATATTACGTCTTTATTGTGGCCTAATTAACGCATTCTTAATTATTTCTTATAAAAAGAATGCGCCGCTTCAATTGAAGCATAAGAATTGTTCTCGTTTGATGCAAGTCACTTCCATTGTTGCTGGTTGCTTGTTTCTGTCATCCAGCTCGCTGCATGTTACTCGTAATTATCCAAGTTGTAGTTAAGTGTTAAGCAGTTGAGTCAATTTCAATTAAGGGCGTGAGATTGACAGTTTTTGATTGAAAGCAAAGCGTTTAACTTGTGTGCAATTTGCGTCTTCAAGGTTAAGACTATGAGAAGGAGAAGTTGATTCAATTTTGTGTATAAAAATATTCTAATGAGATGAAATCGTGTTAAAAATAGAAATTGTGTATTTGCAATTGTTGAACCGATAAATCAAACCCCTAAGTTTGTATTTGTACATTTGGTTGCGTAACTAATCGGACTACCTTCGAAGTGTGCAAAATTTGCGGATTAAATTAGTTTAAATCAATTATTCAACAAGTTTAAACAAAATTTGAGAAGTTTTTATGATTATTATAAACAATTATATGTATTTTATTGTTTATTTATTGTTTTATCAATAAATATTTAAGAAAAACAATAAAAATTAAGTTTTATGCAAGATTTTTAGAGTTGCAACTTTAATTGTTAATAACTTGGGTAATTTTAAACTTTTTTAAACAAAATAAAATACTACTACATAGTAAATTTAATCTAGTTTCAGTTTATGCAATTATTTATATAAAAAAGATTTGACTTCCATCTTGAAATTGCAAAATATTTATGAAAAACAATGAAAATTTTGTTTTTTTTAAGATTTTTAAAGTTGCAATTTTAATTGTTGATATCTAGTGTAATTTTTAACTTTTTTAAACAAATTAAAATATTATTACATAGTAAATTTAATCTACTTTCATAATATGTAATTGATCATTAAAAAAGCATTGTCTTCCATCTTGAAATTACAAAATAAGAAGAAAAAATACTTTTAAGTAAATTTTTATGTGTTGCAACTTTAATTGTTGATATCTAGTGTAATTTTTAACTATATTAAACAAAATAAAATATGATTACATAGTAAATTTAATCTACTTTCAATTTGTATAATTATTTATAGAAAAAAAATTTGTCTTCCATCTAGAAATTTCAAAATATTTATAAAAAACAATGAAAATTTTGCTTTTTTAATTATTTTAAAAGTTGCAACTTCAATTGTTGATATCTAGTATAATTATTAACATTTTTAAACAAAATAAAATACTACTACATAGTAAATTTAATCTACTTTCAGTTTATATAATTATTTACAGAAAAAAATTTGTCTTCCATCTCGAAATTACAAAATATTTATGAAAAACAATGAAAATTTTGCTTCTTTAATTATTTTAAAAGTTGCAACTTCAATTGTTGATATCTAGTCTAGTTTTTAACTATTTTAAACAAAATAAAATATTATAACATAATAAATTTAATCTACTTTCAGAATATGTAATTATTTCCTCTAAAAAACCTCGTCCTCCATCTTGAAATTACAAAATAAAACTAAAAACACTTTTTTTTTCTAGAAAAAATTTCCTCAAGCAATTTTTAATAAACATAAAATAATGTTAATAAACCTTGCTCCACTGACAAGTTCACTCTAGGCGCTAATTAGTCCGCGTTGCACATTCGAGTGCACAGCGAAAAAATGTCGGCTTTTTCAACTTTTACACACATTTTCGATCAGATACTTTGCATGTAAGATACGAGTATATCAATACACGCCGAGTGTGGTAACAGTCGTCGGTGAATGCATTCGTGACGCTTTGCATAAGCACGCACTTGTCGGACGAAATTAATCCAGATAATCGACAGGTGGCACGTGAAAATCAACGCAACCACATCGTACTTTTAATTTTTAATTACTTCACGCGGCGGCGACATGCTGCGCACGATTTATGCGTGTTGACTGAAGAATGATGAATAAATTCATTGATTCTATCAGAAAAACACATAAATTTTGTATATTTATAAGGAAATTGTGAGAAACTTGGAAAATTGCTCTGCTAATTGTTTTTATTGCGCATGCGCAGGAGAATCCTATACTATTCTTACGTATAACTTCAAAATAATTATTTCAAGAGAGATATACACATAAATATTAGTTATTTTTATAGAAATAAGAATAAATGTGTAAATTTGCTCCGCCTACAGAGTTTACTGCGCATGCTCCACACATCCCAATGTAATTCTTCATATTAAACCTTAAAATAATGTTTTTACTTCAAAAGTGACATTTTTTAACATTTTACTACTGTTTTTCTTGCATTTTTTTAAGAAATCAACATTTCTACACAATTTCTAACCTGAAAAAGTTATTTTTAACCAATATTTCATATAAAAAATAACTTTCAAGCAGATTAATCATTGATTCTATCAAAAAACCACATAAATTTTGTTTATTTATGCGGAAATTGTAAAAAATATGAAAATTTGCTGCGCCCATAGTGTTTACTGCGCATGCTCCACACATCCCAATGTAATCTCTGATATAAAACCCAAAAATAATGTTTTTCCTCTAAAAATCACATTTTTTATCATTTTTCAACGATTTTTCTTGCTTTTCTTTAAAAAATCAACATTTCTACACAATTTCTAACCTAAAAAATCCATTTTTAATAAATATTTAATATAAAAAATTAAATTTCAAATAGTAATTAATATAATTATTGATTCAATAAAATAAACACATAAATTTTGTTTATTTGCATAGAAATAGTAAAAAACGCGTAAATATGCTCCGCCCACAGTGTTTAATGCGCATGCTCCAAACATCCCTATGTAATTCTTCATATAAAACCCTAAAATAATGTTTTTCCTCTAAAAATTTCATTTTTGAACATTTTACAACGATTTTTCTTGCATTTCTTTAAAATATCAACATTTCTACACAATTTCCAACCTAAAAAAATAATTTTTTACTCATTTTTTCTATAAATAAATTAATTTCAAGAAATATTTGCTCATAACTACTCCGAATACGTGGGATATCAATTGAATACTCAATTCATTACATCTCAATGCCTTATATTTCTGTGAATTGTTGATACAAGTTTCCTTACGTGAAACTTTCCTCTACCACCCAACTTGGTGGGTGCACCGAACCATTTTTACCACTTGTGCCTTCTGCAGTCCTCAATCGAATCGGTGGTATGGGAACACCTCCGATTGATAAAACACGCGCGACTAATTATCGAGCACTCATTGAAAATCACCGTTTGGCGTCGTTTGCACCACGAAAACAAACGCACGGCCTAAGCGTGTATTGTATATATATAGATATTTAATAATTAATATAATATATTGTAATTAATATAAAGTTGAGTTTAATTAATATGCGGCGTGTGCTTCTGTTGATGTTTCTGGGTTTGGCGCACGGCGCGTACAAGCTGCAAGAACAGTTCCGGTGGAAAGCGCTCGACTATGCTTACCCGACGGAGGAAGCGAGACGACAGGCGATTATGAACGGCAGGTTCATACCGGAAAATAATCTGCCTGTCGGGATCGAGATATGGAATAATAAGCTGTTTGTGACTGTTCCACGCTGGATGGCAGGTAAATTATTATTGATTTTGTTTGTTTTTTGGTTATTACTTGTGAATGGAAGGTTTTGGAAAATTTTGAAAATTAGAGATTTATAGTAGGTATAATTAGCTATAATTGAAGTTTGGTTGTTTTGTAGTGGTTTCGGAGTTATTGATGATTAAAGTTTGGGGTTTTTAAAAATGTAGAAAATTGTAATGTTTTAGTTTTTGCGCAAAACCGGAAAACTA